TAATATAATTATTATTAATATTATTATTAATTATTATATATAGATATATTAATAATATTTATTATTAATAATATATATATAGATATATATAAAAATATATAAATATATAAATATAAATATAATAAATAATATATATATTATATATTTAATTATATATAATATTCCTTTTAGTACCTCCTCCTTCGTAGATCAATGCATGCATGCATGCATGCATGCATTTATATATAAATAGTATGTTTATTATATATGTATATATACCTATGTATACATATATATGTATATATATACAAATACAATATATACGAATATACAGATAATAATATATGTATATATATGTTTATGCATATGCATAGGTGTATATACAGATAAATATATTATTAAGGTATATACCTAGGGGTATAATAAATATGGATATTTTTATTCATATTTTTATTTTTAGTGTCTAGGGTTTAGGGGTTAGGGTTTAGGGTTTATAATGTGTTAACCAGGTGTTGGTTAATCAAGCCAACTGCATGCATTATTTAATGTTTTTATTCTTTTAAATAAAGAAGAATAAAAAGGAAAAAAGAATTAATAAAAGGAAAGAAAACAGGGAAGTGCTTCCTTTTTTACTAAGAAAACAGCAACAGCAGCAGCTTCCTACTGCTGCAGCTGCAGCTGCTGTTGCTGCTGTGCACAAAGTGCCGTTGTAAGGATAACTAGAAGAATATAATTTTTTGTTCTTTTTTTTTATTTTTAACATACTTATAAAAGCATTAAATGCTGTTTATATTGATTCTTTATTCAGGTGTATAGACACCAGGTGTATAGGCAGATACCTCATGTACACATTAACTAGCTTTCTTTATGCTTATAGTAATATTAATAAATAAAATAATGATATTATTAGGGATAAAAATAAGTTATAATAAAACAATATTTTGCATTGACTACTCACAAACAGTAAAAAAATAAAAGTAACAATAAGACTGCACAAGAAATATAAAGGGAGAAAGTTGCAAATTTGGGGTGTATAGGCAGCTCAAAAGTTGAAAAGTTTGTTCTTGACTGGTATGACTCGATGTAGTAAAAAAGGAGCAAAAAAAGAAGAAAAAAGTTTATTTTTTCTTTTCTTTTCTTATTTATTTAAATGGAGAAAAATAAATTATAGCGAAGTTTATAATTTAAGTGTCTTTTTCTACTGAATGGCAAAAGGCATTGATAAGTATCCTTAGACACTGTAAAGAAGAACAAGAACATTCAAGTTTGTTAACCAAGAAGAAACCAAGCCAATGCACACTGACACGGTCGTCTTTTATGGATATTCACAGCAAATTAAATAACATTTTTCTTTTTTTATTGTATTTCTTTTGATTTTTTCCTTTTTACCACAAAAAAAACAGCAAATAACCACGCGCAGTGCTGGTGGTTCCTACTACATCCATACATGCGTTATTCATTCAGCTAGGGAAGCCGCCAGCCCCTAGCAACACCAGCGGCATCCATGGCGAGGAAAAAAATAAAAATTTTACATATTTTTCCTTTTTTTACGTTTATTAGTATGAGGAAAGACAGAAATTATCCAATTTAGGGGAAATTATCCATCTTCTGGTCCCCATTAAGACGTTTTTTAACGGCAAAAGTTTATTTATTTCGTTAACCGTAAGGAAATTCGCATATAATCGCAGTCATTAGATCGCCTTGCCGCAGCGAAACTCTTAATAAATAATAATAAGTTTGTTTATAAACTTATTTAAATTATATTTAGGGGATTAATTATTTCTTTTTTTATCCTTTTTTCCTCATAAACAACGAGGATGCCTACAGCGGTGTCTTGAATATGCTTATAAGCAACCAAGACTGCTGCTGCATGCAACTTATTTCTCCTTATTTATATAAAGGGATATATTCTGCTGCTGTATAAGGTTATTTAATTCATCTGCAGCAGCAAATGGCCCCACAGCCACCAAGAGAGTCGCTCCCTGATGGGGGCTTTGTGTGTCCACCTTCCCCTTCATCTTCTTTGCTTCCCCCTAATAATAATAATAACAGCAGCAGCAGCAGCAGCAATAACAACAGCAGCAGCAGCAGCTTTATTACTCCCATAGAAAAGATGTTTGTTACTCCTACAGTTCCTGCTAGTGAGGCATTAAGGGCAGAAGCAGCAGCACGTGTTGCTGCTGCAGCAAGAAGTCTATCGGATACAGAAGCATCCCTAGATACAGCAGCAGGAGGCCGCATCCCTCGTATACTAGAGGAAGCAACAGAGAGGCGTGTACGGTGGCAGCTGCTGCCTCCTAGCAGCAGCACGAAGGGGGGAGTTGCTGCTGCTGCTGCTGCTTCTGGTGGTGTCTCACGAGGTTATAGAGCAGCAGCAACAATAGCAGCAGCAGTAGCAGCAGGTGATACAATAACTCCTGGTACAACAGATGCAGGTAGCAGCAGCGCAGGTGAGGAGACACACCGCATGCGTGTGCGCTGCAGCAGGAGGCAGCAGCAAGAGAGCGAGGGCAGCGGCAGC